ATAATAATCACTTCTCTCGTATACAGTATTATTGTGCTGAAAGCACATATCACATTTATAATTCTTAAGTACCGTCTGGTATATTAACATTTAATTAGATATTACAAATAAATAACAAAAAGGCACAATACCGTCCTGCTCCACCTCTGTTAGTGTGACTTTGTCAATGGTCCAAGTCGGACCGAAACGTCGTCGTAAGCTTCTCTCTTTTATGTGCGGGTTATTTGTGTATAGATATTACAAATATGTACAAGTAAGTTTGTGTGTATGTGTGTAAGTGCTCTAAGTAGTTCGCTATGTCTCAAGACTCGACTAGACTTAAACAAGTGACTGACAAAGTCCTCAAATAAACTAAGTTCTTGACCAACTGGCAAACAGAACAGTCTGTTTGAACAATAAAACGACTGATAAGCCGAACAGCAATATAACAAGCAACTGCGACACAGAATCAGGAACATGGAGATAATATAACGACACTAAGTAGGGACCATCTGCAGATCCTCCACAAAAGTCACAAAACTCCCATACTACTGAATCTAAGTTCAGCATAAGAAAATTCCCGACTGTGATAATACACAGATACCAGTACAAGTTAGGTCAGAAGCTACAGCTCAGGACCTGAGTTGTTTAGTGTGTCGATGCGACACACAACCTCAGTACAACGTCGAAAATCACAGGTCTATGCAGTGTTCTGTGAACAGTCTCCAGAACTAACAATAATGAGACGAGACGATCTTCCAACAAGTGCCTATAAGGGAGATTTAGGCACTTTGTCTGGAATACGTCCAACCAACCAGCGAGTCTAGACCAGACTGAATACTTTAGGTGAGGTGAGGACAACCCCCCTCGATCACGTGATGGCTCCGTGGGTCGCTGCCCAGCAAGAAGCCGGCAGGGAAACGAGCAAAGAGCGATAATTACAGTAGTTAGACAATCAAGACTTGACCTGAGCACATAATATGTTACATCCTACCTAACAAAAGGAAACTAAGTCAAATAATAATAATACAAAGCAATATATTTACGATTTAGCTATTATCGCAAATATAAGCAATATAAAATTATATGAAAAGGTAATATACAAGTAATATACATAATATACATTATATATATTGCAACCCATTCAGGGGTTGCAACATTCACCAATTTAGAACAGCAATATGTACACTATGTACAGTGATAAGTATAGTGCACTCCACGGTAAGCAAGGCAGAAATAGAAGCCACAAGATAGCAGACCGTGCTTCAACCAGCTCTAGAATGGGAATGACAAGGGCAGACAGGAGAGTGGTACCCACATAACCTCTGCGATTGCCAAAACCATCATCTTATTGGCTAGAACCTGGTCACTAGTTGAACGACGGGGCACCATCATCAACTCTTAGCAACCTGGTTCACTGGTTGGGGGAGAAAGCCTGTAAATGAGGGTGTGTACATGCGCCGAATAAAGGTTACGTACTCTTTGCATGCCACAACCACCATCGCCACTACCACCACCACTACCACCACCACCACCACCGTCACTACCACCACCACTACCACCGCCAATACCGCCACCACCACTACTACCGCCTCTACTACCACCATCGCCACTACCAAAGCCACTACCACCACCACCGCCACTAGCACCGCCATTACCACCACCACCGCCACTACCATCCCCGCCACTACCACCACCACTGCCACTACCACCACCACCACCGCCACTACCACCACCACCACTACTACCACCACCACCGCCACTACCACCGCCAGTATCACCACCGCCACTACCACCATCAGTATCACCACCGCCACTACCACCGCCACTACCACCACCACTACCACCACCACAGCCACTATCACCACCGCCACTACCACCACCACTATCACCACCACCACTTCCACCGCCACTACCATCACCACCACGACTACCACCGCCACTACCACCAGCACTACCACCACCGCCACTATCACTGCCACTACCACCACCACCACCGCCACTACCACCGCCACTATCACCACCACCACTACCACCACCACCACTACCACTGCCACTACCACCACCACCACCACTACTACCACCGTCACTCCCACTGTCACTACCACCACCACCACTGCCACTACCACCACCGCCACTACCACTGCCACTGCCACCACCACTACCACCACTACCATCACCTCCAGTGCCACCACCATCACCGCCACTGCCACCGCAACTGTTACCGAAGCCGGAATGTTGAGGTGGCCTCGTGTTGTGGCCTCGTGTTAATGTGGCCTCGTGTTAAGGTGGCCTCGTGTTGAAGTGGCCTCGTGTTAAGGTGGCCTCGTGTTAAGGTGGCCTCGTGTTGAGGTGGCCTCATGTTAAGGTGGCCTCGTCTTCAAGTAGCCTCGTGTTAAGGTGACCTCGTGTTGAGGTGGCTTCGTGTTAAGGTAGCATCCTGTTGAAGTGGCTTCATGTTAAGGTGGCATCGTGTTGAGGTGGCCTCGAGTTAAGGTGGCCTTGTGTTAAGGTGCCCTCGTGTTTAGGTGGCCTCGTGTTAAGGTGGCCTCGTGTTAAGGGTGGCCTCGTGTTAAGGTGGCCTCGTGTTAAGGTGGCCTCGTGTTAAGGTGGCCTCGTGTTAAGGTGGCCTCGTGTTAAGGTGGCCTCATGTTAAGGTGGCCTGGTGTTAAGGTGGTCTTGTGTTAAGGTGGCCTGGTGTTAAGGGGGCCTGGTGTTAAGGTGGCCTGGTGTTAAGGGGGCCTGGTGTTAAGGTGGCCTGGTGTTAAGGTGGTCTCGTGTTAAGGTGGCCTGGTGTTAAGGTGGTCTCGTGTTAAGGTGGCCTGGTGTTAAGGTGGTCTCGTGTTAAGGTGGCCTGGTGTTAAGGTGGCCTGGTGTTAAGGTGGCCTGGTGTTAAGGTGGCGTCGTGTTAAGGGGGGCCTCGTGTTAAGGTGGCCTCGTGTTAAGGTGGTCTCGTGTTAAGGTGGCCTGGTGTTAAGGTGGCCTGGTGTTAAGGTGGCCTGGTGTTAAGGTGGCCTGGTGCTAAGGTGGCCTGGTGTTAAGGTGGCCTGGTGTTAAGGTGGCCTCGTGTTAAGGTGGCCTGGTGTTAAGGTTGCCTGGTGTTAAGGTGGCCTGGTGTTAAGGTGGCCTGGTGTTAAGGTGGCCTGGTGTTAAGGTGGCCTGGTGTTAAGGTGGCCTGGTGTTAAGGTTGCCTGGTGTTAAGGTGGCCTGGTGTTAAGGTGGCCTGGTGTTAAGGTGGCCTCGTGTTAAGGTGGCCTGGTGTTAAGGTTGCCTGGTGTTAAGGTGGCCTGGTGTTAAGGTGGCCTCGTGTTAAGGTGGCCTGGTGTTAAGGTTGCCTGGTGTTAAGGTGGCCTGGTGTTAAGGTGGCCTGGTGTTAAGGTGGCCTCGTGTTAAGGTGGCCTGGTGTTAAGGTTGCCTGGTGTTAAGGTGGCCTGGTGTTAAGGTGGCCTGGTTTAAAGGTGGCCTCGTGTTAAGGTGGCCTGGTGTTAAGGTTGCCTGGTGTTAAGGTGGCCTGGTGTTAAGGTGGCCTGGTGTTAAGGTGGCCTCGTGTTAAGGTGGCCTGGTGTTAAGGTTGCCTGGTGTTAAGGTGGCCTGGTGTTAAGGTGGCCTGGTGTTAAGGTTGCCTGGTGTTAAGGTGGCCTGGTGTTAAGGTGGCCTGGTGTTAAGGTGGCCTGGTGTTAAGGTGGCCTGGTGTTAAGGTGGCCTGGTGTTAAGGTTGCCTGGTGTTAAGGTGGCCTGGTGTTAAGGTGGCCTGGTGTTAAGGTTGCCTGGTGTTAAGGTTGCCTGGTGTTAAGGTGGCCTGGTGTTAAGGTTGCCTGGTGTTAAGGTTGCCTGGTGTTAAGGTGGCCTGGTGTTAAGGTGGCCTGGTGTTAAGGTTGCCTGGTGTTAATGTTGCCTGGTGTTAAGGTGGCCTGGTGTTAAGGTTGCCTGGTGTTAAGGTGGCCTGGTGTTAAGGTTGCCTGGTGTTAAGGTTGCCTGGTGTTAAGGTTGCCTGGTGTTAAGGTGGCCTGGTGTTAAGGTGGCCTGGTGTTAAGGTGGCCTGGTGTTAAGGTGGCCTGGTGTTAAGGTGGCCTGGTGTTAAGGTGGCCTGGTGTTAAGGTGGCCTGGTGTTAAGGTGGCCTGGTGTTAAGGTGGCCTGGTGTTAAGGTGGGTTCAAGGTCTTCACTCTCCTGGACACAGTTAACTTTGGGAAAGGTACGTTAATTCATCATTGATTGTCCTGAATAAGTTGAACTAAGGCTGGGAGTGATAGTTCCACTGCCTCTTTCATTGTTTTTCAGAGGAAAGGTCAAAGGTCAGAAGGAAGCAGAGGTCAGAGTGAGAGTGAAGCATCTCTGGGTCCCTAAACTCTTCAGGGAACTTTCAGAGATATTTTTAACAGGGTTAAATCTGACTTCTGGTATCACTTCATTTTTGTCACCTCTGACCTCTCCACCACCGCCTTGACCTCTCCACCACCGCCTTGACCTCTCCACCACCTGCCCTGACCTCTCCACCACCTGCCCTGACCTCTCCACCACCGCCTTGACCTCTCCACCACCTGCCCTGACCTCTCCAATACCTGTCCTGACCTCTCCACTACCTGGTCTGACCTTTCCACCACCTGCTCTGACCTTTCCACCACCTGACCTTTCCACCACCTGACCACTCCACCACCTGACCACTCCACCACCTGACCACTCCACCACCTGACCACTCCACCACCTGACCACTCCACCACACTGACCACTCCAACACCTGACCACTCCACCACCTGACCACTCCACACCTGACCACTCCACCACACTGACCACTCCACCACCTGACCACTCCACCACGTGACCACTCCAAACACCTGACCACTCCACCACCTGACCACTCCAACACCTGACCACTCCACCACCTGACCACTCCACCACCTGACCACTCCACCACCTGACCACTCCACCACCTGACCACTCCACCACCTGACCACTCCAACACCTGACCACTCCAACACCTGACCACTCCAACACCTGCCCTGACAAGTTTCTCCCTGGCAGACGCATCGTTCACACTGGCCTGGTTGAACTTCCCAGCCTCTCCAAACTGTCTACCCGGAGCATCATCCACATGGTGTAAGTTCAGTCTTCTCTTGTTTTATATATTGCAATGTCATCGTTCTAGTTACACATAATTTATCCTCACACCACTTGGTGTAATTATAGTGTGTTTGTGTCACAGGTAGTTAGTATTGTAGTTATAATTGTTTGTGTCACAGGTAGTTAGTATTGTAGTTATAATTGTTTGTGTCACAGGTAGTTAGTATTGTAGTTATACTTGTTGTTTGTGTCACAGGTAGTTAGTATTGTAGTTATAATTGTTGTTTGTGTCACAGGTAGTTAGTATTGTAGTTATAATTGTTGTTTGTGTCACAGGTAGTTAGTATTGTAGTTTATAATTGTTGTTTGTGTCACAGGTAGTTAGTATTGTAGTTATAATTGTTGTTTGTGTCACAGGTAGTTAGTATTGTAGTTATAATTGTTGTTTGTGTCACAGGTAGTTAGTATTGTAGTTATAATTGTTGTTTGTGTCACAGGTAGTTAGTATTGTAGCTATAATGGTTTGTGTGACAGGTAGTTAGTATTGTAATTATAATTGTTGTTTGTGTCACAGGTAGTTAGTATTGTAATTATAATTGTTGTTTGTGTCACAGGTAGTTAGTGTTGTAGTTATAATTGTTTGTGTCACAGGTAGTTAGTATTGTAGTTATAATTGTTTGTGTCACAGGTAGTTAGTATTGTAGTTATAATTGTTGTTTGTGTCACAGGTAGTTAGTATTGTAGTTATAATTGTTGTTTGTGTCACAGGTAGTTAGTATTGTAGTTATAATTGTTGTTTGTGTCACAGGTAGTTAGTATTGTAGTTATAATTGTTGTTTGTGTCAAGGTAGGTTGTGTTGTAGTTATAATGTTTGTTGTCACAGGTAGTTAGTATTGTAGTTATATTGTTTGTGTCACAGGTAGTTAGTATTGTAGTTATAATTGTTGTTTGTGTCACAGGTAGTTAGTATTGTATGTTATAATTTGTTGTTTGTGTCACAGGTAGTTAGTATTGTAGTTATAATTGTTGTTTGTGTCACAGGTAGTTAGTATTGTAGTTATAATTGTTGTTTGTGTCACAGGTAGTTAGTATTGTAGTTATAATTGTTGTTTGTGTCACAGGTAGTTAGTGTTGTAGTTATAATTGTTGTTTGTGTCACAGGTAGTTAGTATTGTAGCTATAATGGTTTGTGTGACAGGTAGTTAGTATTGTAATTATAATTGTTGTTTGTGTCACAGGTAGTTAGTATTGTAGTTATAATTGTTGTTTGTGTCACAGGTAGTTAGTATTGTGGTTATAATTGTTGTTTGTGTCACAGGTAGTTAGTGTTGTAGTTATAATTGTTGTTTGTGTCACAGGTAGTTAGTATTGTAGTTATAATTGTTGTTTGTGTCACAGGTAGTTAGTATTGTAGTTATAATTGTTGTTTGTGTCACAGGTAGTTAGTATTATAGTTATAATTGTTGTTTGTGTCACAGGTAGTTAGTATTGTAGTTATAATTGTTGTTTGTGTCACAGGTAGTTAGTATTGTAGTTATAATTGTTGTTTGTGTCACAGGTAGTTAGTGTTGTAGTTATAATTGTTGTTTGTGTCACAGGTAGTTAGTATTGTAGCTATAATGGTTTGTGTCACAGGTAGTTAGTGTTGTAGTTATAATTGTTGTTTGTGTCACAGGTAGTTAGTATTGTAGTTATAATTGTTGTTTGTGTCACAGGTAGTTAGTGTTGTAGTTATAATTGTTGTTTGTGTCACAGGTAGTTAGTATTGTAGTTATAATTGTTGTTTGTGTCACAGGTAGTTAGTGTTGTAGTTATAATTGTTGTTTGTATCACAGGTAGTTAGTATTGTAGTTATAATGGTTTGTGTCACATGTAGTTAGTATTGTAATTATAATTGTTGTTTGTGTCACAGGTAGTTAGTATTGTAGTTATAATTGTTGTTTGTGTCACAGGTAGTTAGTATTGTAGTTATAATTGTTGTTTGTGTCACAGGTAGTTAGTAATGTAGTTATAATTGTTGTTTGTGTCACAGGTAGTTAGTATTGTAGTTATAATTGTTGTTTGTGTCACAGGTAGTTAGTATTGTAGCTATAATGGTTTGTGTGACAGGTAGTTAGTATTGTAATTATAATTGTTGTTTGTGTCACAGGTAGTTAGTATTGTAGTTATAATTGTTGTTTGTGTGACAGGTAGTTAGTATTGTAGTTATAATTGTTGTTTGTGTCACAGGTAGTTAGTGTTGTAGTTATAATTGTTGTTTGTGTCACAGGTAGTTAGTGTTGTAGTTATAATTGTTGTTTGTGTCACAGGTAGTTAGTATTGTAGTTATAATTGTTGTTTGTGTCACAGGTAGTTAGTATCGTAGTTATAATTGTTGTTTGTGTCACAGGTAGTTAGTATTGTAGTTATAATTGTTGTTTGTGTCACAGGTAGTTAGTATTGTAGTTATAAGTGTTGTTTGTGTCACAGGTAGTTAGTGTTGTAGTTATAATTGTTGTTTGTGTCACAGGTAGTTAGTATTGTAGTTATAATTGT